ATGACGAAGAGAGTTAAATTGTTGAGCTGTTTCATTTACTGCATCTTGAAAGGTTTTTGTTCCCTGACAAACTCATAACTCAATTTCCATATCAGTTAATATCAGTGATCTGTACGACATAATTGCGACACAGTCTCTAATGCAGACTGGTAATGAGGGCTCATTATTTATTAGCATTGAGATAAATCCAAAAGGATAGAAAGAGAGAAACAAACTCAATGAAACTTGAACATGACATAAAGAAACTCACCAGTTGATTGAAATTCAAATAGATCTTAATGTGGGTTCTAGACCAATGCTTTGTTCTCCTGGAGACAGAAGAAAAAGAGAAATTAGAGGTAAAATCTAGAGAGAGAGAGAGTTGTGTTTGGAGAATGGGGAGTAAATAAGTCAGCACATAGATAACAGAGTGAAAAAAAAGGGAGTTAAATTTTTGAGTTGTTTCATTTAATGAAAGGTTTCTTTTCCTCTGCAACCTTGAATTTAATTTCCATTTTTGGCTACTATTGCTGATCTGTAAAACACAATTGTGCCATGGTATCTACAATGCAGATTGTAACAATAACAGCACATTAATTATATTAGAGTATTGGCTGTCAATGAATTCAACCATGCATAAGGCTTCATTCAAACCTGAAACTGACTGTTATAACGCTTCATTCAAGCCTACCTGTCATTGTCTGGTAGCATCAATGTGCAACTAGAGATTGGTGATCCGTTTAACGCCTAACTATAGCTTGATATGGAAGCATAACAACACGTGCAAGTTTTGAAGACGTTGTATAAGGTGCTTCATTACATTAATTCTAATTTCTCCACCTACGGAGAGTTTTAGCCAGCGGAGCCAACGATGCGGCAATGCATGACTGATTAAGTTGGGATTGGTTTCTTTTGTTATCAACTCTAGGAGAAACTGATGCCAAGTTAAATGTCTTAACTTTTTGTGATGCCAAGTTAAAAGTCTTAACTTTTTGTGCAGAATTGAATTAATCCATACAGGAGTTAAAAGTCCAACATAGGCTAACTTCCCCTTAACATGTCTTATCCTCATCCATCATGAGTCATAGGATTGCTTAACAGAACCAAAAGTATAGAAGTACCTGAGTATTAGGTCAAAGGGGTATCGTATTTATCACCCAGGGTGAGAGTTTAGTTTTGCGAAGGTTCAACTTGAATGAGTCCTAACAAAGTTTAACATGCAATCTGTAAATTGATGTTCATGCTCTTCAATTTTCCCATAATAGAAATAAATTCAATTGTCATAAAAGAAAAGCATAAAAGAATCATATGCTCCTATCTGTATTTGGAAAAAACATAATTACAATATAGAACTTTTTTCCTACTATTTTTCAAAGCGAGTCAATAAAGACACTGACAACTCATACTTTTCATTCAACTCTTTCATTATTTCTATCATGATAATGGATGACAACACAATTTATATTAGATTTGGAAGTAATTTGGATACGAAACAATTATGTGCTTCAGATTCCAAACTTCATTTTTGAAGGAAACATTTAATACCTTATCTTTTCTAAAAGATACACATAAGAAGTGTTATAACACACCTTTGGTAAGTTCCACGCTGTCTTGCGATTTAGTGTGGATTATATTTCCACATAAACACAAATCATTATTCCATGCAACCAATTGTCCAGATAATATTTTATGAGCAGAAGTTGTTTATAACTACATGTAGACATTATATTATCGCCATTGATCAACAAGTATATTTTAGTTGCTTTCAGTTACAAAGTAGAAGAATAGGCTTCAATATTTACCAACATATAGCAAAATATTATCTCCTCACAATTCTAGCCATGGGTGATCATCCCTGTTGATCTATCACGTGTTTCACTATTGTTAAAGTATCTAGCTCGAAAACAATTGATAATAAGCGGAGAGGCTCACAAGGTTTATGTATTAGTTTAGAAGGTGTTATTTTATTGATATAGCAGCTATAACAGTCTCCTGCACATGCAAATGGGTTTAAGCATCCAACTCAAAACGAGTTGATGGCGGGTGGAGACTGGGGAGGCCCCAAGGTTCCTCTCCTTGGTTAGAAAGTGGAATGTTGTTGACGTAGGAAAAGCTACAAAACTCTACCATGCGTGCAACCCCCACTCACACATGGAGAGATAGGGAAAGAATGGGATGACAAATTTGAGAAACTTAACAAGTGCACCTATGGCACGAACAATGGGAGAATCCATTATCAAATTGAGACTTTCCCAAACCCTCCCCAAGCCCAAATCTGATCCAGTATTAAAACTCAAAAAATTGGCAATAATTGTGAAGCCCACGAGACTACTATGCTAGCTTGGATGTGTTATTTTATTGATGCGGGACAAGACCAAGTAGGTATAATGACTAACATCATCAGATACCTTCATGCCCTAAAAGTTTTCAGGATAGAGTTGTCAACAACTCCCTGGAACTTGTAGAAGGTTTCTAATCCAAAACATTCAACACACAAGGCATCACTACAAGATAATGTCAGTTAAGGAAGGATTTGCAAAACACTTAATGGTTGTCTTTCCTGACAAAAAACCATAGAGTGATTTTCTCTTCTCCGTTCTGTTGAAATCTATTTTTCACAACCATTTCAATGCTGCTGCACCCAATAAACGGTCCAGATGTATGTTTGTAATCTCTTAAAACTAATGGGATCAAGAATTATCAACCAGATGATAAAGTACGCAGCCCCAAAAATCTTACCAATGTAATTGCTACTCCAATTTGAATTTCACTGCGTCTTAGCCAGGTCTTTTCTATGATTTTGACACTATAATTGTCCATTAACCTAGAGTACTTACCACTCTGTATTACTTATTAGCTCAATCTACTAGTTTGCACTGGCTGAGCAAATCCTCCCTACCACTGCCAGTTTGTTCTAATCACTAACCAGTACCAGTTTACTAGCATACCAATGGATTACTCTCAAAAAATGATCAGGGTATGTTTCCTAAACCAGGATTTTCTCCAGAGGGAAAAAGGGCTGGAAAAATGGGTCAAGGCATTTATTTCATGCATGGTTCCTGGAAGCTAATTTGAATTCAAGGGACCTTTAAAAAATTCAACCAAAGACACTCAGAGGATGAAGAAAATTCCATGCAGCATTCTTCTCAAGCCAGTATAAGCAGCAAATGTACCCTTAGGCACTGAGCAAACAGTTTATAAAAATAGAAATGCCCAAACAGATAATTAGTCTTTAAGTAGCTTTAAATTGTACTAAGCAAATATAAAACCAACCCACCAAATGTTTAAAACGAAATGTATGCCTTCTCCCTTATACAAAACTTTTAAATTAGTCGAGTACACTGAGAATATGGAAGATAACCAGAACAGGAGTAAACAAAAGAAGACTGTGTAGCTTGTACACCTGATGTCTGCATATTGCCACAAATGAAGAAGCATCGCCATTTGATTCACAATAAGAACCCCTGCAACAAATTTTGGAAAAAAAGAAAAAAACAGTTTGACAATTATGTTAATGGAAAATTCATTACTGCCATAATACATGACTGATGCAAAACATAAAGAGGAAAAACAATTCTGAAACCAATTCACATTTTCCCTTTTCAATAACCTCCTGCTTTATTTTCATTCCATAATGATAAAAAAACAGTGGTACAAGAATTTTATTCTAATTAAATACCAGCTGGCTGATGGGCGGATAATTAGCAACAGAAGTGGTTTAGGCTGAAGTTCTTTCAGCATTTGGGTTTTTACATGTTAACCTTTATTTTTTGCTTATACGTATACCAAACTGCATTGCAACTTTGACTGTTGCCGCCAGAAAATCTCCACACAAACAAAAGTAGTTTCCAGGCAATGTTGTGGTTGCTATGCTCCCCTAACCTATTGTTGAAACATAAGAGTTGTGGTACAATCAACTTCTACAACACAATGACAATAAAATGTATGCTACATGCTCCTCCAAGCGTAGATTGATAAACTGCCGACTTACAGTGTACCACAACTAGTATTTCGGTGGTGATGTCTTACTTCTAAAGAGATCAAACATATCCCACAAAACGCTTTACACTCTTCCATTGTAGCCCGTATTAGGTTATTCAGAGATATAAAACCTTTCCAAGTGGGTTTGGTATAATATTAAGGTCACAAGGATTATTGTGGTTTCTTTCCTGTTATAACAGAAAAAATGGGTTTTTTCTACAAAAGTGTCTTACTAACTTTGAAACTGTGAACACTGCAGGTCTTCATGAATCATACTCACACTACGCCAATGCGTTATTAGTATAACATTGAGGCTTTCCTAATTTTTAAATCCCCAAAGCATTTTAAGGCTCCCAAAAAAAATATGTTAAAACAAAGCCCATAGGCAACTTCAATCCATGTGAACTTACCAAGTGTTTTACATAACAAGAAAACAAGTTTACAATCTAATTTAGAAACAAAACGAAACAGCCTGGCAACCTTACACTATGCATCACCTTAAGGCAGGGAAGAAATGTACAGAAAGCTAAAGATGATGCACCAGAGTCACTTTTTTAGAACTTATCCTTGCTAATGTAGTTGCAGTAGCAGCTGCTCGTAACCAAGGAACTAAATTTCATTTTGATGCTAAAACGTCCAAAACGTTTCTGTTTCCATGGAAACCGAAAAGAATCGGTAATTGAATATCAAAATTCCTATTTTTCAAATTGTTTCGATATGTTTCGGTATGCTTTGATCAATGTTTCGGAATGTCTCGGAAATAAATTTTTTTTTGTTTCCATACCATTTCGGAAATGTTTCCGAAGCATTTCCGTTTCTAGGCTGCCTGAAACTATGCACTGAAACAAATTTTTGATCCTTGCACAACTACTAATTGTCATCTATGTTTACCAAAAATAGAAAGCATGCCTATAGAACAATGTTTTAAATCCATATCAACGGATAAAAATACACACAGGCACAATGTTCTTCAATGTACAGGAAGACAATAAAAGTGGATATTTTTGGACTTACTTGTTAATAGAAACTTCAAATTGCATCTATGAGCTTGCAGCATAAACTCTTATTTTCTGTTCAATCTGACCATAGCAACATGGACATCTACCTCCCACAGGCACAGTCTTGCTGTGATCCTCGTTGCAACTTACACACATAACTTGATGAGCACATGGCAGGAAAAGAATAGAAGCTTCATTCTTCCAGCAGATTACGCATAGCCTGTCACATATAGGTTCTTCAGAAAAATCATGTGAACTAGATGATCCAGGAGGAATTACTGTGCTGTTCCAGTTGTCACCACTATCCAGCATTCCTTGGGATGAGCTACTAGATGAATGGTTGCAGATTCGGAGACGGGATAATTCATTCTCAAGTCTCTGTATATCATCCTTTAGACGGTTAGAATCCATCTCCAATTTTTGGTTCAAGAACTCAAGATTTCTTTTTAAATTGGCTTCTGCTACCGCCTTTAATCTCTTTTCCTCTGAAAGTAGCGCTAAAGCCTGCTCTTTTTCCTCCAAATTTTGCCTCCATTTTACCTGCAATCAAGAGTTGTATAAAGTCCAGCATTGTCCTGTGGGTGATAAAATCAGGAATGAAAAACAATTGATCTTTCAGACTGTCACTGTCCAAGCTTCTTATAAAAATGATCAACATAATTTACGGAAAACCAGGGATTATTATTCATGAACAGCATATGATATTCTCTAAAATGCACCGTCCTTTTCAAAATTGTGAAAAGCACTGTGTGTACACATTCAAACTATGGTATCTACTATAAAAAAAAATATTCCAAAATCAAGTGCCTCTTCTGAAAGTCTAGACTTGAAAAAAGAATTTTTTTTTATAGAACCTCGACGATACGACAAAATTTTATTGATTTTTAAAATGAATTACACCTAGCTAGGGAAACTTATGTACCTTATCCCTCGATGCAATCTAATTACAGAGGAATGTTTTTTTAAAAAAAGGTAAGACAAGTATGCATGCTGAGTACATAAGATATACTTGAAAAAAGATATACTCCCAATACTTTATCCGAATTTACAGAACAGAGCTCTAGTCTCTAGAAATGCAGTCATCACCAATTGTGCTCCATAGATAAATTTGCAATAATGACAATCTGTGTCACTCATTGGTAGGTAGTTTTATCCCAGATGCAAAGGATTTTAATCTTGGCAACCAGAGTATGCACATCACAATTTTAACTGTAAACAAGTAGGAATGCAACAAGAAACCTTGATAACCACAGGAGTTGGAAGAATGAGAATCTGCATTTATTCCAGAAAGGTCTATGATACCTCTCCATTGCAAATTAAAAAGTCGAAACTCTTCAACGGGGAAAAACAAGAGATATCATTTTGCACCAAAGAAAATTATCTGATTTTTGCCTTTTAATCAGGCACAAAAATTTTGCGTAGTGAAAAAATCCTAGACGCCAACTACACCTTTGGTAACCAATTCTGACCCAACAACTTTCTCCAAAATCAATTGGCTTTGGCAGCGGCAGATCTCTTATTTTTGGCCATGGCAGAGGCATGTGTCTCGAAAATGTTTCTACTAATACTGCAAAACTACATCAATGTACAAGAATTTCTTTATATGTAATAGATGTTAGAGCAAAGAAACTGCCACATCAGTCTTGTCCTCATATTTGATACTAAAAGTGGGAATATCTATATTTTCTAGCCACCCCTATCTGGAAATTTAGGATACTTGGGGTGAGGCATACATTATACTCGTGTAAAATAAAAGCCATTAATTACTATATATACATGCTCTTCTAAATGATTTATCACTTCATATGACAAATAATTTCCTAACACAATTTCCTAATAACAGATGTGACAATCACTGCCTTGTTGGGTATGAATTCACACATATCTAAAATATATAAACCATTTACTAACAAGAGATCATTACCTCCTTATATTAAACAGCATTGCTGATATCTCACAATAGCCATAAGAAATTAAGAATTGACAATTATAGACTAGTAAAAATTATACGGTCTATTTTAATGTAACATGCGCCTATTAACAATCTCCAAATTGGGCATACAAGATGGAAGATGAAAGCCAATTTCTCTCTTTGTTTTTTTTTTTTTTTTTGAACTGGGCTTTATCAACCTAAATATTGCTTCAGTCCAAAACAAGGTATACTATAGAAGTGGAAGCTTTAATTTTCATGTCACTAACTCTCCGATTTCCATTTTCCGCACTTCACAATTTTTACATTCATGTTTCTTTCTTCCAAGTAACTCAATAAAGAAGACTGAAAAAAAACAAGATGAACAAAAACGCGTACAAATATCATGTTAGAGGTCTTTTAGGAGGAAACATCAAAAATCTTCAACTGGAGAGAAGTTCTTGTGATGCATTCGTCAAAAGGATACTTGACGGGGCTGTCTATGCCCTTAAACCTCCTAGATAAATGCTAGACCACAACGTAGGACATGGACTACTGGTTTTGGATAAGTTGAAAGGATTTGGAAATACAAGGTCCCTGGATATCAAAGGTGCGGGATGTTAAGAAGTCAGCAAAATCACAAGGGATCTGNATAAGTTGAAAGGATTTGGAAATACAAGGTCCCTGGATATCAAAGGTGCGGGATGTTAAGAAGTCAGCAAAATCACAAGGGATCTGTGATCGACTATAAAGGAAAGATTTATCAGCTTAATCAATAATACACATTAAATAAAAATTTCAGGCAGACTTTTTCACAATCCAAACAGATCCAAACTGGTGTGCATGCACAGAGAGACATACACCCAGATGAGGTCATTTGCATGCACACAATTACACCCATGCAAACACACAATACAACTCATGCATCCCAACATACACATCCACGTGCACGTAGCCATTCGCAACACATTTGACCAACAATACCTAAAGCAAATGCAGCTATGAAAGAGATTGGTCAAATAAAAGCACGAGTTCTGGTAGACCCCTACTAGTAAAGGGCAAGCCAACATCCCTAACCAAAGGGTCACAACAACATCCAAAGGTTGACTTTGGCAACACTACTAAGGACCAGGGCGATCAAAATTCAATAGAAGCTCGAAGAGGGGTTTACTAAGCGAAGGGCCGAAGGAATTTATTCTACTATACCACCGAAGGGTGGCAGGCAAAGCTGCTAGGAGATGGTGCGAATTCCTTTGTTCGCATGGCAGAGTGTTTGTCCTTAAATGTAAACCTTCATCCTATCAAAGAAACAATAAATGTGCACCCTCACACATACACACCCACTCACACACATGCACAGAGTTTGCACTCAAATGCTGTACAAGCAAGGATCAAAACATTTATGTTTTCAAGGAGAGTGAAACGAATCAATGATGGAATCAAAATTCTAATATTTCGAGGTGTTCCATAATGTTTCGAAATGTTTTGTTATATTTCAATGTATTTGCACAATTATTTCAAAATGTTTCAAGATATTTTAAGATATTTTAGTATATTTCTATCAATGTTTTGAAAAATAATTCTTGAATTTTTATTTTTATTTTTTATTATGTTTTCGAAATGGATCAAAACGTTTCTATTTTTTAGGTGATCGAAATAATGCACCGAAACAAAATTTTGATTCTTGCGTACGAGAACAATGCCTAGAGATAACAAATAGTCCATACTTGTCATTAAGCGTGGCACAACATCTAGAAGTAAAAGGTAACACATAAATACTGAGGAGAGGTACATATGCCTCAAAAAATTATAAGCTTCAGAATCACAATAAATCAAGCAGGACTAGATGAAAAATATTCATCAGCACCAAGGCAAAGTAACAATAAGTGCCAACAGGGAGGAAGGATGATAGAAGAATGGCGGGGCAGTTCTCTGATCGATATTGAAGAAGCATACGACAACATGTGCAAGTAATAGATCAAGTCAAGAGGAACATGAGGTGCAACCTAGAAAAATGATAAACAAAGAAAACACGGTACAGAATCTATTGGACCAAGATGTCATGCATGAGCACAACCAAAAGACCATGAACACACAAGCATGTTGTACGAAATTGGTTGCTAGAATTTGTTTAGCTCTCAGCCAAGGATCAAAATATTGTGTCCAAACAGTTGAAATGTCCGAAACGTTTCCGTTTCTACGAAGATCGAAACGAATCATTGACTGAATCAAAATTTTAATACTTCGAGGTATTTTGGAATGTTGAGTTTTTTTGGAGATGTTTCAATATATTTTTATCAATGTTTTTGAATGTTTCGAAGTGTTTTAAGATCTTTAACTATATTTAGACCAATACTTTGAGATGTTTTGAAAATAAATCCCTAAATTTTTATCCAGTTTCATTATATTTTCAAAACGTTTTCGAAATATTTTCAAAACGTTTCCAGTTTTAGGTGACTGAAACAATGCGCATAAACTATATTTTGATCCTTGCTCTCAGCGTGTCTCAATCATGTATCTTATATAAAAGGACACAACCAAAATGTGCTAACTTACAAGAAAATAATTCCTGGAGGAATATTTCTTACCTTGTTGTGATGCTAGCGGGTAGAAATAAGGATATAAAGAACGAAAAGGGATAATAATAATAAATCGTTGATTTTCGCACAAATACCAGTTTAAATTCCTACTCTAGGCCTATTGATTCACAAAAAATATTAGTCTTAAAAGCTTCAATAACTTTGCTGATTCCTAAAAATACCAGAAGAATTAAGAAAAAAAGAGACAACTCTCTCAGTTGTATTCAATAATTAAAAGTTGTTTTTCCCTAAGACTTTAAATAGTAGTAGAAACCCTAAGCAACTAGAAAACTAGAATCCCAAATAAATTAAAATCTTAATTGAATTGGAAAATAACATAAAATAATTTTCAACTAAAATAAGGAAATAAAATAAAATCTTCTAGAATTCCCAAATTGAACGACATTGACCACGTTCAAATAAAAAAAAAAATCTTGCCATTTGTTCTTCATTATTCTCCCCCAGTTGGAAAAACTTTGTCATTGAATTCATTTCGCAATTTGAGTCTTCGCTTAAATTTAGGCTTTCGACCATTCCATCGATATTCGTTTGAACTTGCAAGTACTTTTGACCACCCCAAAATTTGAACCCTTTAGATATGCCGAAAGTTTGACTATTAATGGCTTACAGAAGATTTATAGAACCAATCCGCATGCATTTTTGTCTTCACCATGACCACAACTTTTTACTCCCAATATCATCTATCTCCAAGTGGTTGAAAATAAGATGATTTAAAGCTTTCTTAGTCACATATTTTTGTGAAAATTCAAACCAAAATGGATCACCATAGGAGGAGTGAAAACTGTAACCAGATGGAGTTGGAAAACTATATGAGCCTGAATTCACCTTGGCTTAGAAGACAAAACTCCCATACTTGATCGAAGAACCTTGGTATTAGAAGGAGGACCTAATGAAAAATTGATGAAAGCTTCTTTCCCACCATTATTCGTGTCAATAGTCCCACCTATATCACTACAATCTCCCTCCACGTCTTTTAACTCTATGTTTTCCTCTTGTTGGTATTCTGTCAAGCTCCAAACATCCAAGGTCTCATATAACGGCATTACTTCAACAATAACTTTATCTTCATGAACCTCCATTATCTATCATCAATGGAAACAATGTCTCTAATATGGGTTTTGATGTTAACAATGTCATTTGTCGTCATTAGATAACATTCCTCCACATCCACAACTTGAGGAGTTAAGCATGCTCGCCGAATCACAAGTAGTGGCCCCCGATCTCCTTCCACCCATAGTTTTTAAAACCGGCTTGGACATCAACCCGGCAAAAGGACCAAACCAACAGGGCACTAATGCTGGGAAGTGAGTAAAAAGAAAGATATATGGACTAAAAAGGGATAATGAAAATAAACTGTTGATTTGAGCACAAAAACTTGTTTGGATTCAAACTTTAAGTCTATTGATTCTCAAAGAATACCAGTCTAAAAGACTTCAATAAGTTTGTTGACTCCTAAGAATTGGGAAGAAAATAAACATCTCTCTCAATTGTATTCAATAATCAAAAGTTGTTTTACCCTAAGACTTACAAGATTTTAAATAGTAGTAGAAACTCTAAAGCAACTAGGAACTAGAATCCCAAATAAATTAGGAAACTAAATAAAATAAAATCTTAATTGAATTAGAAAATAACATAAAATATTTTTTACAAAAATTAGGAAACAAAATAAAATCTTTTAGAATTTCCTAATTGAACAACATTGATCACGTTCAAATAAAATACCAAAAATTCTTGTCATCTGTATTGCATCAAGCTGCTAACTGGTCTTCACTAGAGATTGAGATATATAAATAATAAATGCCCCTCACTGACAAACTTATCAAATCATGTGAGAAACCTAATATCCAGAATAACCCTTTAAAAGCATTGCAAAAAAGAGTCAATTTGTAATTCTTTTAGCGACAAAACAATTTTGATAGTCTAGCACATTTCTTGTGATTAACCTAGTTTTGTTGAAAAATATTTTGTCATTTTTGCCCAAAAAAAAAATAGACACCGACTACCAACTTTCAAAGGCGACAAGTGGATACTTTTACCGGCGGTTTTCTTGGCTAAGAATTCCTTTATTTTTGGTGATGAAACTAATTTTCAGTTGTAGAAATATAGATTTTATCACCAATGATCTTCACTTTCACGACTTTGAGAAAGAAATCCAGTAATTGCCTAAGATTAATTCTTTTGCGACTAAATATGTCATTAGATGTAGGAATGAACACTCAGTTGTTCATGAAGCATGTAGGTATGGAGCAATTATATCCATTATCAGCTACCAATTGAATTCTCATGCAATAGTACCATGCTACATTTAACTCCTTCAATCGTCTAGATTGGAGGAGTAAATTCAATGCAATGTTTTTAGGAAATATTCAAACTTATAAATCCAAATTCGTTCAAATAGGGATTTGAAGGTTCATTATTTTCATTTAGGGTGTCAAGTTATTAAATTAACTTAAAACTTTTATGTAGGTTATGCTTTTAGATTGAACTCTGTAACTAGATAGTACTACCCTCTCTGGCTCTATCTAGTGACCGAACTCAAAAAAATGCATTTTTATAAAATAGACCCCATTTTGTTTGAATTATCTAAAATTGACACATTTTTTGTACATAATATCCTATTTTGTACATAATATCCTAACTAAGCTAACGTCTTTTATTGATTGGGTTGAAAGCGAAAGATAAATGGGAGATCTATATGATAGTTCCTCTCATTAACTTATGACTTATGAGGCAATGTGGCCGTCAATGTCCTTTCGTTCTCTAAGTTCTCTTAGTATGCAACACAACATGACTAAAAGGGACAATTCAACTCATCTTGAAAGTTTGCTGGAACCAAATACTAGGTTGAGAGAATTAATGTTGGTGCATCGCCTTCAGCAATTTAATATGGTAATTCTTGCTTGACAGAAATCAAAACATTAAGAAGGAATCCTACAGAACTTCAAGATCTACAAAATTATTCTTCTTAGCACTATTCTGGCATCTCTTTGTTTTATACTACCTAATAAGCACGAACTTTCCCAAAGAGGTGACGTGGCACAACACCAACACTTCTTGGATAATCTCGGACACGCGTTCGATACTTTCTTAGCCGTGCCCATAATTAAAAGGTGAAATAAATATATTTTACTTCAGATATGTATCCGACACTGAATACATGCAAAGCAATTTTAGTAATAGAAGCAGTGGATATAGTGAAAAAGTTAAAATTGAAAATCAAGAAATACCAATAAGTAAACGATTTATATATCTAGGATCGAATATTAAAAATGATGAAGAGATTGGAGACAATGCAACTCATAGAATCAACGTCGGTTGGTTTAAGTGGAGGAAAGCTTTTGACAAATTATGTGATAGAAAGATACCAATAAAATTAAAGGTCAAGTTTTATTGAACAGTTATAAGAACAACAATTATGAGATGGAACGTTGGGCAACTAGGAGACAACACAGTGACAAAATGAGTGTAACGGAAATGAAAATATTAAGGTGGATGTGTGAAAAAATTAAAAACGACAGAATACAAAATGACAGTATTAGAGAAATGGTAGGAGTAGATACAATTGAGGATAAGTTGAGAGAGAATAGATTAAGATTGTTTCGTCATGTTCAACATGACCGATTAGAGGCACTGGTTAAAAAAAGTGATAGAATTTCTCTTCATGGTACTAGAAGTAGGGATAGACCTACATTAACATTGAACGAAATAATAAGAAAAGATATGAAAATATTTAACTTAAATGAGCTTATAGCGCATGACCGAAATCAATGGCGAAGATATACTCATATAGCCGACCCTAAATGATTGGAACATAAAACTTGGTTTGATTTGGTTTGATTTGTATATGTGTCCGACACTACTTTGGTGACATATCTTATGCTTCTTTGGACCATGTCTATAGCCACAAAATATATATGTACAAACTTTGAAAATTGGTTAAATGACTATATCACACTTCATACTTTCCACACTATCTCACTACAAAAGAAATATGTTTAAGACTTATTGTGTTAAAGTTGTATGTTAAATTTACTAATAAAAGGGATAGTCTGTTTGTTCTATATGTTTTTTCACTCCATCTTTCCAGTTGAAGGATGAGGGTCATCATTATTAATTACATATGTTTGCTATATCTTGTCTATAAAAAATGAGGATTAGTGACTACAATGATCCATTAGGTGAAAATCGCATTAGAGGACTACCACAAAAAAATTACTTATCACAAAAGTATGAAGCACGGACATGGATATATGTATGAATATGATGTGATATGGATACAACGATACAACAAAATCCAAAAAAGTAGGATATGGATATAACTAGGATACGTCTATAATAAAATACATTTTATATTTTTACTATTATCTACCGACTTAATAATTATATATTTTGGTAATTTTTAAAATAATAAGAAAAATTGACACTTTTCCTTTAATTTCAAGAAAAGTATATATCTTATCATTATGGCATATTCACAAAGTGAAGTAACTAATTAAAAGAATTAAAACTAATATTTACTAATTTGGTTGGTTTAGAAATATTTGCTGCTAAAAGAATAAATATATTCATTTTATGCTCTTTTAACATATAATAGCACATAAAACATAAAAAAACTTGTGTCTTCAAAGTCATATGAATTTTTGTTGATATTTTATATAGTAGTTGAATTTGAAAAGAGATGTTTAAAGATTAAATTAAAAAGGAGATATTAGTCGTATGAGACCAACTTCAAGTGAAGTAAGATGACGGAAGACATTAAAATTTTTTCGAAAGAGGTTCTTGGGGAGTCAAAAAGTAGAGAGCTTAGGGAAAAAGAAACTTGGTGGTGGACTGACGATGTACAAGATGTAGTTGAAGTAAAGGAAGAATCATTTAAGAGATGGCAAAATGATAGAAATAGCGAGAACTTCCAAAGATATAAATTATCTAATAAAGAGGTTAAAAAGATAGTTAGAGACGCTAAATTAAAAGCCTACGATGAGTTGTACAAAAAACTAGATAATAAAGAGGAAGAAAAAGACATTTACAAACTAGTTAAAATTAGCGAAAGAAAAACAAGAGACTTTAACCAAGTTAAGTGCATTAAGAGTGATAACTCAAATGTTTTAGTTAAAAATGAGGAAATAAATGATCGGTGGAAAGACTATTTTGAGAAACTATTAATGCAAATCACTTAAAAAACTTAGAAGAGATAGAAAATGGTAGGATTTATAAAACGTTTTTTTGTAGAATAAAGAATTCAGAGGTAGAGTTTGCATTAAAGAAAATAAAATTAAGCAAGACTTTAGGACCGGATGAGATTTCAATTGAGATTTGGAAGTGCATAGGGAATAAGGAGGTATCGTGGCTAACAAGATTATTCAATAAAATTATTAGTACTAGGAAAATATTTGATGAATGGAGAAAGAGTATCTTAGTACCTATCTATAAAAATAAAGGAGATATTCAAAATTGTAATAATTATAGAGGGATAAAATTGATGAGTTATACAATGAAATTATGAGACAGGATCATTGAACGTTGCTTAAGAGTTGAGACTACAGTATTAAAAAATCGTTTGGGTTTATGTCAAGTAAATTAATTATGGAGGCTATATATTTATTAACACTCATAGAAAACTATAGAGAGAAGAAAAAAAATCTCCACATGATATATATAGATCTAAAAAAGGCATATGATAAATTACCTAAAAATATAATATGAAGGGTGCTTGAGAGAAAATGAGTGACAAATAGATATATTGAGGTGATAAAGGACGTGTATAATGAAACTATGACTACAATTAGGTCTTCCGTGGGAGAAAGTAAAGAATTTTCAATCATGGCGGGATTACACCAAAGATCAGCCTTCAGTCCATACCTAGTCATCCTAATTATGAATGAACTAGGCACATTCAAGATGATGTCTTACGGTATATGATATTTGCAGATGATATTGTATTAGTACATAAAACTTGAAAGGGGATTAACAATAAGCTAAAAATTTGGAGATAGGCACTCGAGTCGAAAGAATTTAAAATAAGTAGGATTAAGACTGAATATATACAATGTAATTCTAGTAATAGAAAAAGTAGACATAGTGAAAAAGTTAAGATTGAAAATCAAGAAATAACAACCATTAAATAATTTAAATATCTAGGATCAATCATTTAAAATGATGAAAAGATTGGAGATAATAACTAATAGAATCAACGCCGGTTGACTTAAGTGGAGGAAAACTTTTGACATATTATGTGATACAAGTATACCAATAAAATTGAAAGGTAAGTTTTACTTAACAGCTATAAGGACAACAATGTTGTATGAGACAGAATGTTGGGTAACGAGGGAATAACATAATGACAAAATGAATGTAGCAGAAATGAGAATGTTAAAGTGAATGTGTAGAAAAACTAGAAAGGATAGAATACGAAATGACCATATTAGAGAAATGGTGGGAATAGCTCCAATTGAGGATAAGTTAAGAGATAATAGATTAAAATGGTTTGGTCATGTTCAACGGAGGCCGATAGAGGCACCGATTCGAAAAAGTGAGATAATTTCTCTTAATGGTACTAGAAGTAAGGGTAGAACTAAATTAAAATTGAACAAAATAATAAGAAAAAATATGAAAATATTTAACTTAAATGAACATATAGCGCAAGATTGAAAGGAATGGCAAAAACAGAATCATATAGCTGACCTCGAATGATTGGGACATAAAGTTTAGTTTAATTTGGTTCTGTTACAAAAATATTCGCAAAGTACTCCCATATTTTATTATTACCGGATACGTACAAAGTGTATCCAATAGATATCCTTGAGTATCCAATGAGTATTGTATCTGATACGGTATCCGATACGAATATGTCGACTCAACAAAGTATCCTTACTTCATAGTCACAAAGTAATGATATTCTTATTTTGTATCATACTACAATTAAATCTATATATAGCAACAAATTCTATAAATTCATATATAAGGCACAATTATTCATACCTTTCCTTGATGTGTTTGTGTCCTACTTTTTTTTGAAAGATTTCATGTTCACGTATCCATGTCATATTGTATTCATGTCCCGTCATAATTATGCTCACACAGACATGGTACATTGTAACTTCTACAAATTTTGACATAAGCCTTGTCAAGTGGTGTAGTTTAGACATGTGTTTTAGGATTTAGAAAGAGATATTATTGCCTAAAAAAATTATCACAACAGAGTAAAAATGGAAAAAGAGTCATATAGGTAACAGTATGCTGTATAAAAATGGAATATTGTTCGCATACAAAGCATCCAAATGATGAGTGCATCATATAAGCATTAATGATCACAGCTAGCCCATACGAGGGAAATATGTCAAAAATCTTACCTCAATTAGGCAAAGAAACCTGAAAGATCTGCAAAAAAGGGCAGACCAAGCAACACCACCACCACCCACTTGTGACGGTCACAGGGCGAGTTACTCAACTCTTTCTTCAGTCTTGCTTTGATAATCAAATCCAAGATGAAGGCTAATATATTCATGATATTAATAATAGCAAAAACGATATTCATGAAGTTTAGCGCTAATATATTCATGAAATTTAGGGATTGTAACCACCCATCAACTTTAATGTTGTAATTATCTAATATAAAACACCTTAAGGCAAGACAGCCACACAAAAGCTGGTTTTACCAGAGAATAGAGTGACAAGCAGTGAACCACATCAACTCTATCCTCCGGTGTAAATCCTCTTACATATCAATATACTTCCAAGTATTTGTTGAGCCAAATTCAAAAAGTTATTCAAATCTAGCACGCAGCAATGTTGAAAAGTCATCAAAGCATGATCTCCATCAATTTGGTAGGTTCACTTGTTTGTCATGAGTCTCATGATGAAGTCAATGTGAACTTGACTGGAATCACGCCTCTAACAGATATTTATGCATGAAATCTGAAATGATACCACAACTCTTCAGGAAGAATATATTAGAGAGTCCTTTGCGCTTGTAGATTATACGCATGCTGCCCCTGAAAATAACTGTGTCATAGAGCTGCCCAGATCATCAGATGATCAGTCAATTAAATTATAGCTAATCAATCTCACCCAGTCTGCTCAAAAAGTCTCCACAAAGCAATACACAAAGGAATACCGAGAAAGTAATGCCACACAAATTCACATCGCAGAAATATAAGATAGCTTGGTGAATAGCAAGTCAAATGATAGGCATAAATTTAGTTTTTCAGAGTATATATAATATATAATAAAAATTTAGTTTAGTGTCAACACTATAGGATGACTCACCTTAGCTTCCTCTTGAGCTTTCTCGATCCGAAGCAATTCCTGCCGCATCTCCACCTGCTTCTGCTTCTCTTCTTTAATCTGCTCTTGAAGCTGACATTTCTCTCTGTCCAAAGCTGCAAGCTTCTTGATGATCTTTTTTTCTCTCTTTAAGACTACGAGGGAGGCTTTGTCTGACTCTGATGCACTCAAATTTAAAGCTTTGATGTCTGCCCTAATCTCTGCATTTACAGTCTCAAGCTTCATCACAGCTTCATTTGCAAGGTCAGCATCACAATTAGCCTTTCTTATAGCTTTCTCCATCTCCAGGATCTGCTTTATGCTTTCCTCCTCGAATAATTGGTTGTCAATCTTCAGCTGCTCTCTTTTTGCTTTCTCCATCCTCAGCATCCTAAGCTCTGCAAGATCTTGGCTGACCTTTTTTTCTGCCTGTGCAACTTTCTTTTGAGCCCATTCCTTCTCCTCCTCCACCTGTTTCTCAAGCTCTTTAATTTGTTTTACCAAATTTGATATCATCACACTCTTCGGATCATCGGAGTTGCTTTCCAGCAACTCTTCCATTTCATCAGAACCCACCACATGCTGGAGCAAATCACCCTCCTTCAAATCAGGCAAATCATCCTCCTCCAAATCAAGCTCTTCAGATAAATCATTGCTGGGGGACGGCTTGGCAGAAACCTGTCTTTTTAATCTTAAAGTAACTACACTCTGAGCAGCTTTCTGTCTCACATGAGACGTCAACATTGGTATAAGATCTACTCTTCTTAGCAACCCAACCTCCTTCTGTAATGGTGGAAAAAAATTCTTTTCAGATTTCGCATTCTTCTCACCATAAGATGAGTCAGGGCTGCCAAATTGTTGCTCCTTAGTGGACTTCAGATCCCCAGAAGACCCAACAACAGAAATGGTATTGTTAATCTGTGATAGTGCCCCAAGATTCTTTTCAGATTTCGCATTCTTCTCACCATCAGAAGAGTCAAGACCGCCACATTCTTGCTCCTTAGTGGACTTCAGATCCCCAGAAGACTCATCAACAGAAATGGTACTGTTAATCTGTGATGGTGCTCCAACATTCTTTTCAGATTTCGCATTCTTCTCACCATAAGAAGAGTCAGGACCGCCACATTCTTGCTCCTTAGCGGACTTCAGATCCCCAGAAGACCAGTCGGCAGAAAAGGTACTGTTAATCTGATTTTCATTACGTGAGGAAGGGGGGAATATGGCTCTAGCTGGACACGCATGAAAATCAGTTGCCAACAAATGCCGCATGGCTTCAGATTTCTGAAAGTTGGGCTCAATTATTTGTACCAAGTTCACCATAACACGTAGCGAGTACATCAGCAACTCAAACAAATCCATAAATCCTTTGTTGTTTTTTAGGGCCAGTCGACTATCAATTAACCTACCGGTATCAATAAAAGCAATGCAATTGGTCACAATATTAGTCAGAATATTCATAGGTCCAAACCAATGCCCACTCATCAAGATTGCCCTTTTGGCGACTCCATCAGCGTACCCAATATTCAACAGGTTCTGGAAAGCCTCAAGATATATCGCTTCAAGTTTGACATACAGTAATTTTTCCAATTGATCTTCAGTGTAGCCGTCCCAGCCACTCATATTTACATTCACATTTTGATGCGGGGGTGAATACATGTTCTCGCATTCCGCTAAACCATCTGAATCATTGCTTGGATTCTGACTCGTATCAGCAACAGGGCTTGAGGATTCAGCTTTCTCACTGGTTTTGACAGATCTCTTTGGTTTGGCCTTCCTTTTGGTCTTCTTGTCTTTACCTTTGCCAGAACCAATCACAAATAAATGAATATTGAAACTAAATAAAAAAGGGCGAAATCAAGAACTTCAAGAGGCATACATGCATTGATATAAACAAATGCAATTAGCTATACTTGTTCATATAAAATTAAAGGAGCTGGTAAGGGAATAGGATTAAATTGGATACAGTAATTAACTAACCTGTGTATAAAAACAAAACATGTAACACACAGAAATGCATCGACTGATGAACAACACACACACACACACACAGAATGTTGTGTATAGCATACCTGCAGATGGCTGCATGCATGTGATGGGTGCATGTATAACTTTCTCTTGAGCCCATTCCTTCTCCTCCTCTACCTGTTTCTCGAGCTCGTTAATTGGTTTTACCAAATTTGATATCATAGCACTCTTAAGATCAGCGGGGTTGCTTTCCAGCAACTCTTCCGTTTCATCAGAACCCACCACAGGCTGGAGCAAATCACCCTCCTCCAAATCAGGCANCTACCTGTTTCTCGAGCTCGTTAATTGGTTTTACCAAATTTGATATCATAGCACTCTTCGGATCAGCGGGGTTGCTTTCCAGCAACTCTTTCGTTTCATCAGAACCCACCACAGGCTGGAGCAAATCACCCTCCTCCAAATCAGGCAAATCATCCTCCTCCAAATCAGGCTCTTCAGATAAATCATTGCTGAAGGAAGACTTGGCAGAAGCCTGTCTTTTTAATCTTAAAGCCGCCAACTCTGCATGACAAGCAGCTACACTCTGAGCAACTTTCTGTCTCACATGAGACGTCAATGTTGGTATAAGATCTACTCTTTTTAGCAACCCAACCTCTCTTGGTAATGGTGGAAAAAAATTCTCTTCAGATTTCGCATTCTTCTCACCATAAGATGAGTCAGGGCCGCCACATTCTTGCTCCTTAGTGGACTTCAGATCCCCAGAAGACCCATCAAAAGAAATTGTACTGTTAATCTGAGATGAAGCCTTTTTAGATTTTGCTTTCTTGTCAACATAAGAAGAGACAGGACCCCCACATTCTTGCTTCTTAGTGGACTTCAGATCCACAGAAGATCCATCGGCAGAAATGGTACTGTTAATCTGCGATGGTGCCCCAACATTCTTTTCAGATTTCACATTCTTCTCACCATAAGAAGAGTCAGGACCTCCACATTCTTGTTCCTTAGTGGACTTCAGATCCCCAGAAGACCCATCAAAAGAAATGGTACTGTTAATCTGTGACGGCGCCCCAAGTTTCTTTTTAGATTTTGCTTTCTTCTCAACATAAGAAGAGACAGGACCCCCACATTCTTGCTTCTTAGTGGACTTCAGATCCCCAGAAGATCCATCAGCAGAAATGGTACTGTTAATCTGCGATGGTGCCCCAACATTCTTTTCAGATTTCACATTCTTCTCACCAAAAGAAGAGTCAGGACCTCCACATTCTTGTTCCTTAGTGGACTTCAGATCCCCAGAAGACCCATCAACAGAAATGGTACTGTTAATCTGTGATGGTGCCCCAACATTCTTTTCAGATTTCACATTCTTCTCACCATAAGAAGAGTCAGGACCTCCACATTCTTGTTCCTTAGTGGACTTCAGATCCCCAGAAGACCCATCAAAAGAAATGGTACTGTTAATCTGTGACGGCGCCCCAAGTTTCTTTTTAGATTTTGCTTTCTTCTCAACATAAGAAGAGACAGGACCCCCACATTCTTGCTTCTTAGTGGACTTCAGATCCCCAGAAGATCCATCAGCAGAAATGGTACTGTTAATCTGCGATGGTGCCCCAACATTCTTTTCAGACTTCACATTCTTCTCACCATAAGAAGAGTCGGGACCGCCACATTCTTGTTCCTTAGTGGACTTCAGATCCCCAGAAGACCCATCAAAAGAAATGGTACTGTTAATCTGTGATGGCGCCCCAAGTTTCTTTTTAGATTTTGCTTTCTTCTCACCATAAGAAGAGATAGGACCCCCACATTCTTGCTCCTTAGTGGACTTCAGATCCCCAGAAGACCCATCAACAGAAATGGTACTGTCAATCTGTGATGGTGCCTCAACATTCTTTTCAGATTTCACATTCTTCTCACCATAAGAAGAGTCAGGACTGCCACAATTTTGCTCCTTAGTGGACTTCAGATCTCCAGAAGACCCATCAAAAGAAATGGTACTGTTAATCTGCGATGGCACCCCAAGTTTCTTTTTAGATTTTGCTTTCTTTTCACCATAAGAAGAGACAGGACCGCCACATTCTTGCTCCTTAGTGGACTTCAGATCCCCAGAAGACCCATCAACAGAAATGGCACTGTCAATCTGTGATGGTGCCTCAACATTCTTTTCAGATTTCACATTCTCCTCACTATAAGAAGAGTCAGGACCGCCACATTCTTGCTCCTTAGTGGACTTCAGATCGCCAGAAGACCCATCAATAGAAATGGTACTGTTAATCTGATTTTCATTAAGCGAGTAAGGGGGGAATATGGCTCTAATTGGACACCCATGAAAATCAATTGCCAACAGATGTTGCATGGCTTCAGATTTCTGCATATTGGGCTGAGTTATTTGTACCAAGTTCACCATAACACGTAGCGAGTACAACACCAACTCATGCAAATCATGAAATCCTTTATTGCCTTTTAGAGCCAGTCTACTATCAATTAACTTACCAGTATCAATAAAAGCAACGCAATTGGTCACAATATTAGTCATAATATTCATATTACCAAACCAATGCCCACTTATCAAGATTGCCCTTTTGGCGACTGCTTCAGGGTACCCAAAATTCAACAGGTTTTGGAAAGCCTCAAGATATATCACTTCAAGTTTGGCATGCAGTAATTTTTCCATTTGAACTTCAGTGTAGCCGCCCCATCCACCCATATTTACATTCACATTTTGATTCGGGGGCAAATTCATGATCTCGGGTTCCTCTAAACCACCTGAATCATTGCTTGGATTCTGACTCACATCAGCAACAGAGTTGGAAAATTCAGCTTTGTCACTGGTTTTGACAGATCTCTTTGGTTTGGCTTTGCCCTTCCCTTTTGTCCTCATGTCATTACCTTTGCCAGAACCACCCACAAACAAATCAATATTGAAACTAAATAAAAAGGGTGAAATCAAGAACTCCAAGAGGCATACACGCATGGACATAAACAAGTACAATTAGCTATACATGTTCATACAAAATTAAAGGAGGTTGATAAAGTGAATAGGATTAAATTGGATACACTAATCAACTCACCTCCGTATAAAAACAAAACATGTAACACACAGAAATGCATCCACTGATGGACCACAGAGAGAGAGATTGTGTGTGTGTATAGCATAACTACAGATGGGTGCATGCATGTTCCTGTATCTACTTGCATGGACACAAATACACAGAAGGATGAAATTACATTGAGAAATAAAGCAAAAGTATCACATAAGAGAAAGAAAAACTCTAAATTCAGTAAAATTCAGGTTATATAATTGAAAATTTGAAATTGATTCAAGGGCAAAACACACATAACTTAATGAGTATATCTGCACCTCCACCCATATGTATGTACTTTTTTTTTTTTACCCTTATGTATGTATGCTTGTATGATTTTCATATATATATATGATCTGAATCAATATTTAAATTGAATCAAAATTGCTTTTCAAACAAAAGAAAATTCAGAGAAGAACAAAACAACACATGCACATGTGTGAACAATTAAACATAAATAAAATAAACAAATAAAAATAAAACTTTAGACATGGGCTTTACTTCAGGGCCGGCTCAATTACTAGGCCAAAGAAGCGATCGCTTCAAGCCTCATCTAAATTAAAGTCCCATTTTTTATAAGTTTTCAATATGATTCAAACTAAAAATTAAACAGAAATAAAATTGAGTCTAAACAAAAAAGTCTTATGTACTTCAAACTAACAAAAGATTTCTAACAAAATTGGGCTCAAAAACCCAAAAGTGTTTGTGGTATAGTAAAAGTAAAAGGCTTAAAAAGGCTCACAGCCCATTTAGCTAAAATATGAAATTTTAACAAAAAAAAAAAAAAAAAGTCATCTGACTCACTTGCAAAAATGAAAAAGTCAATAATCAATACCATTAATTACTCTTTATAACCGGTCAGTTACATCAATCAAACACTCTCTCTTATGTCTCTCGTGTTAAAACATCAACCCCTTTCTCTCTCTCTCTCCCACACACACAAAAAATAATTTTTGTTTTCATCTAAAAATAAAGTAAAGGATTCTCTCTCTCATTTGGCTTGTGACCGGCTTTCTAATTCACATAATAAAGTCATCAAATCAGTTCCCGTATATTATTTTATACTTGCACTTTCTCTTTTTCAATTTTATTTTGTACAAAATATAGTATCAATCAACTTATTCTATTTATTTTATTTTTTTTTATAGATAATAGAATCACATTATAATATCCTAAGTTTTATGACCACTAATGGTAAAATTAAGTGTTATTGTTTTATAATTTTAATTTTTATTAAGTTTTTTTATCTTATAGAGAATATTTGATTGATTTTTTTTAAAAAGAAAGATCTTTTAATAAATTTATTATTAGTAATAAAAAAAATATATAATATTTTAGTGAAGGTTTTGAAATGAACAAGTGATAAATCTTAAATAATTAGAAGATATTGAAAATATATGATGAAAAAATAACAAATAAAATTTTTATAATGATGGTCGAAAATGTAATATAATAATTCTTGATCATGAAGAACATACAAAAAAATTTATTAGTAATTTTGAATTTAAAAAAAAAAATATATATATATATATTAATTTAAAAAATATATATATATATTAATTTAAAAAAAAAAAAAAAAAAAAAA